CGAACTGCCATGTACAGTGGTTCTGTTTTTCTGTGGAAGATTACACGCCCGGCATGACATACCGCTTCAATATCCTCAATATGGAGAAACCCAGCTCGACCTTCAATGAGGGTCAACAGCCCCTCATGTTGTTGGTTGAGAATGAATCGTCGGGAACGAAGGCGTCGGGCCTTCCGCGGTGGACGCGCTGCGGACAGGACATCTTTTATTATAGAAACCTGTACCAACGCCCAGAACGTTGCACCACGACCGCCAGTGAAATGGTGGAAACAAATGGGATAGGAACGGCTAAAAATCATGACTGCAGCGAGCGCACATCAAACAGCGGGCAACGGGGGTTAAAAAAGAGCAAAAAAGTTTCCAAATCAAAGCCTTCTGGGAGTGAAAAAAGTAAAGGGGTTGCCTTTTGTTACACATTGAGCTTTTCAGTTGTGTTTCCAGAGAAAAAGGGACGTGTATTTTTGGCAAATTGTTTCCCATATACGTACTCGAACCTGCTAGAAGACTTACGTCAGTGGGAGCAGCAGGCGGCAGCAACCCTTGGTGCCTCGGTTGTGGTGGCGGTACAACAACTCTGTTGTACGCCTGGTGGGCTTCCGGTTCCTATTTTAACCCTGACAGCAAGGAATCCGGTGGATGAGGATGCTGGCAGCAGTGAGGAGAAGAGTACGGGTGACGAGACAGGCGCTGCGGCTTCAACAGGGATTGAGAAGCGTCCGGTATGTATTGTAACATCCCGAGTTCATCCTGGAGAGAGTAACGCTAGTTGGATGTTGCGAGGACTGCTGACTTTTCTTCTTGGCGATGACGAGGAAGCACAGGCGTTACGAAACGGCTTTGTGTGGAAGATTATCCCCATGCTGAATCCCGATGGTGTGGTGCTCGGAAACCATCGTTGCTCACTGGGAGGAGCAGACCTAAACCGGGACTATGCGGATCCAAAACCGTGGAACAATCCTGTGATTTATTCGCTGAAACAACTTACTTATCACATCATTCATCGAGAACAACGCCACGTGGCCCTTTTTTCCGATCTTCACGGACATTCACGTGCCAAAAACTTTCTTATCTACGGATGCACACGCCGCGCTGAGGTACAGGAGAGTAAATCCGCCGCCAAGAGATCAACGGCAACAGTGCCATCTTCAGCAGCAGCATTCCCTCCTAGCAATTGCGCATTAGATAGTCGTCGTCAAATGTCGACCAGCGCAGCTTCTGCGGTTTCTGCTGTTTCTGCCTCTTCTTCTGTGGAAAAAATTCTTCCGTGTTTTTTGAGTGTTCTTTCCCCCGCCTTTGCGATGTCACAGTGTTCGTTTACGGTGCATAAGAGCAAGCGGAATACAGGACGGGTTGTAATGTATCGGGAGTTTGGGATACGCATGAGTTATACACTGGAGGCAACCATGATGGGCGGGAAAGATGGACTTTTTTTTCAAAATACAGGCGTTTTTTTGAAAAAGCCAACAGGAGATGTGCTTGGACTGCGGCAAGAAGTTGGAGGTGAAGAACTGGGAAGCGATGAGAAAATAAAGGCATCCATGGAAGAACCATGGCCCAAGGAGGTCTCTTACACCACTCTTCAGTATGAACATATGGGGGCGTTGCTGGTTCGCGGCCTCCATCTCCTCACAGTCAACAGTGAAGGCCCGAGCGCCGTCAAAAAGGAGACAATTGAGCGTGCATGGTCGCTGATATCTGCAACTCTCGGAAATTTAGATGCACCCAATGCTCCAAGCTTAACGGTCATGGGCGGTTCGTATGCGCTTTCAACGCGGAAGAAGCGTCGTCTGGAGGCAAAGAAGGTAAGGAAAGAGAAGACGACTGCTACTTCCACGTTGCTGTCGATAGAGCAGCGAAGAGAGCTACTGCGCACGCTATTTGTTCGGCCAAAGGTGCCATATGCGCAACCGATGGATATCGGACCCGTTTTCTTGGGAAGTGACAGTGACGATGAGGAGTCAGAGACCTCGGAAAGTGAGAATGAAGATGACATGGAAGAAAAAGAAAATGTGTCTCGACAAGAAAGTGATGGTGATGATGAAACTGACGGAGTTGATGATGACAATGACGACGACGACGACGACGACGATGACGATGATGATGATGATGGTGCATACGAGGATGAGGAACTTACGTCCTCTGAGGTTGATGGGACCTACTTCCAAGAGTAAGGGGAGCTTTTCATTTAGCAGACAACGAAAATCATTAAAACCTTCTCTATATATGTGTTTACACCACCGTGTTTTTATGTAAATAGGTGAATACTCTTTTGACCTAATTTTTGATGAGTTTCTTTTTGTCAAAAGAAAATATATATATATATATATATATATATATATATATATATATATATATGCTAATGGCATGTGTGTCCATTGCTTCATCTCTGAAAAACTTTTATTTTATTATTATTATTTTTTTTTTCAACGTATTTGCATTGTCGTGCATTCTTCTAAATACCGCAGTTTGTCTACATAGCGACACGTTGGAAGAAATCATGGACGTAGATTGGCTTCACACCCCCTCTTTTGGGGCAGTCGGCCCAACTTTTGGTGGTGACGGTGTGGCACGAGATAAAACTGCAAAAACGGACGAGGTGGCAAACGGTGGCTCTTCGCCGAGTGACGGACCAGGAGTTTTTGTAGGTATTGGTATCAGCAGCATTGCTGCCTACGTGATTTACGCGATGTACCGTGGAAGTCGAAGGGGACCACCACAACTCTTTTGGACCACCCCATCCGTGAGAAACTCACGACCACCGTCTAATTGTCATGGGGAAGTGAGTAATGATGCAGATGATCATGTCATGCGACCGAGTCTAACACTAGTGAATTTTCCTAAACAGATGTGGGGTTTGTTTGAACGATCTTTACGGCCGCTGATAAATGCTGAGGAGTTGGAACTGCAGGACGCACGTGTTGTGTTTTTTCATGATTTCACGGAAATCACACCCAACAACTTGGAGGCCGTTGCTCGCCAAGAGGTGCTTTTGGCCTTTGAAGATTTGAGGGGGACTCCCTGTGCGGTTTACCGTTCTGTTTTGGCGGTGGATGGAGAGCCGATAAATCCCTTTTGGGGAGCCGAAGAAGCGGTGAAGGCGTCACGAGGACGTGCACTGCTTGAGTGCCACTGTATTGGCTATACCGTAGACGGTGGTCGGGTGGAGATTCTTTCCCACGATACGGAGGGGATGGTGGGAGCTGTCAATGATTTTTCCTCTCCAATGAAAACGGATCTCCATCTGGATGACGTGGATGATGCGTTGCGACGTTGTTTTTGCGCGACCGCGCGGACCTTTTCTTTAGGCAAAGAAAAAGGATGGGATGCCATGGGAGACTTCTCCTCTCGGGATCCTGGGAATTCCATCAGCGGCCCATACGCTCGATCCTTTGGGGTGTTGTGGTTGAGTCCTGTGCCACTCTTTGCAATGCTTGGGGCGGCTTTGCGATACAGCTGCGCGGAGTTTGATGGTTGGAGAAGGCTTTCTGAACCAGACAATGACGCATCGTCTCCTTTTTGGATGCTAAGGCGAGTGTGGCACTGGTGGCGTGAGCGAAAAGAGTCAAAATTGGGTGTGAAAAAGTATGAAGGCCACCCAGGGGATAAATTTATTGTGGAGATTGAATCTCTTCAAGATCTAACGTGTATTGAAACAACTTATAGTGATCTTTTAAAGGATGCTTTGAAAAGGGCACGGCAATTCGGTGTTGATATGGAAACTATTGAAATAGATACATTTCCTTCCGCTGTTGGTACGGTCTTACGCTGCTCGTTGCGTCCCGGCCTCACTGTATTTCAGGCACTGCGGGAGACATGGAGACTTACGGCGTTGGTATCATGCCTCAAGTGTGACGTGCAAAAATTCCGTCTTCTTGTTGCTGTTAGGCTTCCAGAGGTGTCTAATTCAAGAGCGAATGTGAGAGACGCCCATGCGTCCTGGCCACATGTTCGGGTTTTTCCGGTGTCAAGAGAAGAGGCGGAGTCGTTTCGTCCGTCATTTTTTTCTTCCGCACAGTACTTTCGTCTGCTGAAAGACGATGATTGCGTGGAGCCAGCGGAGGCGTTTCGGCGCATTCAAGAAGGGAATTTCTACCAGTTGTGTTACGTTGTCGCGGAATACGTGACAGGGGATTTTGAAAGTTGTTTGGAGGAGTGTGCAGGAGACGGAGGTGTAAAGAAGGCGATTTGACGGTTTTCAATTGTTTTTGGCTGCTGAAGTTTGCTGATTTTATCCCTATTATTATTATTATTATTATTTGTTTTGGTTGTTGTTGTTTCTTTTATTATCAGGCTTTATTTTCCCCTTTATCATGTGTTTTTTTTGTTTTTTTTTTTTTCCTCTTCCTGCATTTATGTTTGTTGCCTTTGTGCCTTCAAAACAGAGGGAGAAAACACAACATCACCTTCCTGGAAAGGAAACAAAAAAAGGAAGATTCCAGTCGCTTTTGTGTTCTGTTTATTATTATTATTATTTTATACTTTTTCTGCATGCACGCCAAATTGCTGGGTATCTCCACCCCTGAAAAGGGGCGACCGCAGGAGATGGACATGTACGTTCCTGATGAGGAGGTTGACTGGACGAGCGATGCGTACAATCGGCTATATGGCGAGCGGCCGCCACAAAACAGGTCTTATAACTGCACTTATCATCGTTTCAGCACGGCATGCTTCTCCGCTTTTTTAATTCTCCTGGGTGCCGCTATGTCTGCTGTCATTGCCGTTGGGGGGAGCAAATCAAAGGAATTGAATTTCTGTCATGACTGCAAAACTTTGATTCTTTTTCTGCTAGTTCCCGGAATATTCTTTGTGATTATGGGAATTGTGGGCGCAGTCTCGGCATGGCGAGAGACAAAACTTTGTTCTGCATTATTCTCTCTGCTTCTTGTAATAGCGGCCTTTTTGGTTCTTGGGACAGGTGTGACGGTTGTGATCGCGTACACTCAAGTGGTTACGTCCGATGACTCCTTGGCTCTTTACTGGGAGCGAGCTGTGTCGAATGCCCCAAGCAGAATATGCGACCTGCAATGTTGGCTACATTGCTCGGGTTTTGCCTCTACTCACTGTTGTGTCAGCAACGTGACGGCAGAGCGTTTGCCCGATGTCTCCCCCTGCTATTTGCTCGCTGAGGACGGAGTGACAACGCTTGACCCGAATACACTACAGCCTGTTTCTTGGCCATCGCTCACATGTGCACCCAGGTGCAATTCATCGAACATTTACAACGCCACATGCAAGGAACCACTTCAAGAATTCTTCATGAACTTTTTTCCTCTCACAACTGGAGGGCTTTTTGCCCTTGGATTAGTGTTCCTTGGCTTTGCGTCTCTTGCCGTGTATCGTATTACTGTCACAGGAGGGAGAACTTCTTACCTCCGTTACGAATATTGAAGAATTGGTCTTTCTATTTAAGTAAATGTTGGAAAAGCGAAAAAAAAGAAAGTTGTCGGACTGACATGCGCCTCAAGGGCAGCGGTAGTAAGAAGTAGGAATTTTTTAAGTTTTTTTTTTTTTTCTTTTTTTCTTCTTTTGGGAGAGTGGGGGGTAACAACTCACACCTCCCCACAATATTTCTTTCTCCTTGTGCTTGTGTTTTTCTTTGGACGTTATTTCCCCGCGCCCTTATTTTGCCTGCAGGAGCTGGGAGGGGAATAATGACCCGATGAGAAGATGTAGGATTGTACGAGAAGATAGAGGAGAGAATGGGAGGAGGAGAGCGAGGGCAAGTCAATGCATGTACGTGGGATTGTGTGTCCTTGTCTGTTCTTTTCCCCTCTCAGCGAAGGTCAACCAGCAGACGAAGAGTGGACAATAAATGAATATATATATATATATATATATATATATATATATATATATGCGTATCTATTGTCCCTCATTACGTCTTTTTAGGGTTTCTGCTTATGCGAATGTTTTTTTATTTCTTTTTTATCGCGATGACGTTTGTTTATTGTAGCATCACCTCTATTTTTTTTTTTTTCTTTTTAATTTGCCCATTCCATGCTTTTTTTTTTTTTTTTATTATTATTTCTCTCTTTATGTATCGGTGTTTTTTTTTTTCTTTTTCTTTTTCTTTGACTGATGATGAGGTTCCATAAGGAGGAGGGACGCGTGGTGTGATGTATGCGGGGTAATGACGGGGTGCGAAGGAAATGTTCAGCAAGCGACAGGGTCGCAGGGTCGCTTGTCGTCACGCTCACGGGATGTGTACATGCGCATGAAGCGTTTGCGCAGCCATGAGAGCGGTAGTGCGGAGGACACGGCCCCGCCTCGCCTGCGGATTTGTCTGGACAACAGGGGCGATGCTAACAGTGTGGTGAGGTGCGCACTTCGTGTCGTGGCCTCGCCATCGTCGACGTTGTTAAGCACAGAGCAGCGTCCGTGCGCGTTGCATTTTCGTTTGCTTTCAAAAGTGGGACTCTCAGCCTCCCCAAAAGATGATCCACGCGGCACACACGACGAGTTCGTTCCCACACCAACGCCGCTGCTGTCTGTTGAGCGTCTATGGAACCTCCCTGGCTGCATGGTGGTGGACTGCACGACAGAGGAACTAAAGCGGGAGCCCAATTCACTTCCCATGCTTGAAAAGAACGGTCTAAAGATTGACGGGAACGCCATTTCAACACGGGGTGCAGAGGACTGGCTTCTCTACATTCTCGATAAGGATGTTGCGGCAGAGGAAGACGAACCGGAGGAACAAAAGGAAGGAGAAGGGGCAGTTGACGATGAATTTGGCTTTGACGACTTGATTATTACAAGACCTGAAGCGGACGGCGGGGCCGTCACGCCTAATTTTTGCTCGGGGAGGTACCGTGCGCATCGCAAGCGATGTCGCGATGACACGACACCAGAGTATATCTTGTCTTTGGGGCCGCACTCTGGAGAAGGTGGCGGTCGCACAGACGATTGCGAAGGGGAAATCTCACTTTATGCCATGCTGCGGGACCATGGGCAGGATCTTTTTTTGCTGGAGGAGGATGCTGGTTGCGAGCCGGAACTGTACATTTATCCCGACCATCGCAGAGATGATGAGTACGACAGCAACGCGGCAGACTTTTCGGGCAATGAGTACCCAGATGAACAGAGCACGAGTAGCAACGCGAGTGTGCGGACCGACTCAGAGGATGAGAATGACATGGTGCGACGCCCTAAGGGGTGTTACGGGGACTTGTGGTACGACGAGGATTACGCGGAGGCTTCCCTCAGCAGCGGCTGGAGCAGCCATGATAATGGCTACTGACTCCGCCCTTTTTTTTCTTTGTTTGTGATTGTG